TAGACTCACTATTGGGTGCATCTGCAATAATCAATTTTGGTAGTAAAGTCATGAACAAATGCAAATTTATTTTTTTTTTAAATACTATTGGTCACTCATACTCCCAAGTGTAGAAAATATTTATATGAGCATGGGAGAGGTTTGTCAGAATCTGGGAAGGGTATGTAAAAGCGTGAATTAGGTAATAAGAATATCGTTTCTACTTCTCAGATTTTCCCCCTATCATGGTACAGTTGAACACGGCTATAGCGGGACTTTTGGTTTCAGAAGAAAAATCCCGCTGTTGGCGAGTCCCCACAATAGGAATGCAAAGGGGAAATTACCCCAAACAATATAAAGTCCACATGATTACCTCCCTGCCATATCAATAAATTTTGCACTTTAGATTAGTCTTCCTTTTCTTGTCAACTTCGCTGATTATCTCGGCCTTTAATTCGAGTGAAAAGCATTTCCTTTTGCCTTTGTTGGAAACCATCTTTTCCTCCGTCTTGTTGCTTGTGCTGTCTATCGTACCGGAAGGCCTACTGCAGAACTGGTGAAGTGGATGCGTGCGTATGCCTATGAGCATCAACGATCGCAATTCAATGAATTGGGAATCACACACTGCATGCTCTCCTTTTCTTTTACTTTTTGGCCCAGCCTAGACCTAGGGATATGGCCTATATACTCTCATACTGAGCATTTAAGCTACTGCACACCACTTTTGGAGTGGCTCACGTAACACATCTCTCCGCACCATCTCTTTCTGCCGCCTGCCCAACCTCACTCATCACTGGACTGCTGGCTGTTTGGAGCCCGCCTACAGCCCCCCAACCCCATTCCCCCTGCTAGAGCTTGCTCAATCTCTCCCACTGTATCCAAGTTCAAGCCTTTCCTTGCCCCGCTAAACTCAAGCACAAGTAATTGAGTTTACATAGAGAAAAAAAGGGGGATTCCAGTAAGGTCTCCCTGTAGGGATGTTCTACTGTAGGTAATCTCTGCCCTATTTGAGAAAATACTGTGTAAGTCTAAAACAATGGCACTAACTGATATTATTTGAGATACAGATCTTAAGCTCACACCACAAGACGGTACACCCTTGTGGAGAGAGTATGGATCTGTTATTAAGTTATTGGTGTTAACGTGTTCACAAAGTTTTCTGCTCATGACACGGGAAGTACTCTGTGAACATATTTCTGTATGCTAAACTGTTTATGTGTGTGAATGTTTTTGCAGTGTTGTAGTTGTAGCAATCATGATTCTTTCTTGATTGAGAGAATGGTTTTAACATTGCCCTCCTATAAATGTTTTCGATATCCGTGGCCTCATGCACAAACTATCTGTGCCTGGAGTTATATTCCTCACTGGAGAAGGGGAAAAAACGCAGAT